ATGTATGTAATTTTATCATTATGGTCTTACTTTTATAATATTTTATTATTTTTATTTTATGTGTATGGGTGTTATGACTGCATGTAAGTAAGTGTACCTGTGTTGTGCAATGCCTTCAGAGGACAGAAGAGGCTGTTGAATACCCTGGAACTGGAGTTACAGACAGTTGTTAGCTGCCATGTGGGTGCTGGGATTCGAACCTAGGTCTTCTGCAAGAACAGTCAGTGTTCTTAACTGCTGAGCCAACTCTCCAGCCCTATGGTCTTACTTTTAAGACCATCAGTTCAATTTGTTGGTATGTCTTATTTATTTTAGTCTATTGTAAAATGTTTTCTTTCTTTTTTAAAAATTATTTTTATTTTATGTGTACGAGAGGATTGTCTGCATGTATGTGAGTGCACCCATGTTGTGCAGTGCTGTGGAGGTCAGAAGAGTGCTTTGGATTCCCTTGGAATTGGAGTTAAGTACGGTTCATAGATGCCATGTGGGTGCTGGGAATCGAACTGGGTCCTCTGCAAGAGCAGTCAGTGCCCTTAACCGCTGAGCCATCTCTCCAGCCCCATAAAATGTTTTCTTAATTTCATGTTTTGCTTATTACTAAGGCATACCTTCTCTTTTTAACTGGAGCACTTTGTTCATCTGTATTTGATCATCCAGCTTATTTTATTTAAAACACATTTTTTTTTTGTGGTTCTGAGAATTGAACCCAAGGCTTTGTGCATACTAGGAAAGCACTCTACCACTGAGCTACATCCCCATCTCCTTTGTTTTTTAATTGTCCTGTTTGTGTTCTCTCTCTCTCTCTCTCTCTCTCTCTCTCTCTCTCTCTCACACACACACACACACACACACACACACACACACGCATGCACGCACACACACTCTGAGTCTTGCTATGTTGCCTTAGCTCATTGTACACTCCTAGGATCAAGTAATTCTCATGCCTCAGCCTGCAAAGTAGCTGTAGCTAAGACTATGGTACCTGCCATTGTGTCTGTTTTTTTTTTTTTATTTTTTTCGGGGCGGGTGGATATTTGAGACAAGGTCTTGCTGTGTAACCCAGGCTGACCTCTGACACTATGTAGACAAGATTAGCATTGAGATTGTGATGATATGTTTTGCCTCAGCTTCCAGGGTTGAAATCACAGGCGTGTACACTTGGTTGTTCTATTTTTTTTTTTTTTTTTTTTTTTGATCCAGTTTTTAAAGTATTTTATAAAGGCTGTATGGTTTTCACATATGACTCATGATCTATAGAAGATGACTTTTCATCCTAGGCAGGGGAGGAGGGGATCAGCAGTCAAGT